TTCACCATTTAACACGATTTTTATGCAGTCCTTGCAATAATTTGGTTTCTTTTTTACTCTAACCTTCACAGACTGATGCAAAAGTTTTGTTAAACATTCAACTCTTTCATCTACTTCCCGATTTTTCAAAAGATATTGTAATATCTTGTTAAAATCTTCACTATATGGGATATTTTCTAAATATTCCACATCTTTCGGATCGGGATGCAAATGTAAATTCATTGGAGCAGACAAATGAGTATCCAATATAATCTCTTTAATGTCAATGTCTACATTTAAACTTGTTTCTAATACTTCAATAATATCTGTAAATCTTAAGTCGGGTTCTTCCCATGGATAACATGCTAAATTTATCTGTGAATTGTTTAAGTAATAACTTCGTATAGCATACATTATACGAAGTTATACGAGCGCAGTTTGTCAAATTTGGAACAATGTTAATGCGAAGGAAAATACAAATTATAATACAAATATTCCGATAACTGCTAGTCATTTATGAGCATTATAATATAGGCATAAAATATATTCTTTACATTTATGCGCAATATGTGCACGCGATGCACACATTCCGATTTTAATTGTATATATATATGCTTAAATTTGCATATATATATATTGCTTCGTGTATATTGCTTCTCATGTATCCATTTGTAAGATGGAATCACAGAGAATCATTGTGCTGCTATAATTAACGAGAAAAATAAATCACCTAAATTAACTTCACATTTACATTCTTTTACATTAAAATACAACCCTTTCTAGATCATAGATTAACCATTAATTCTGATATATTGATATACATTAAAGCTAAGTTTCTTACTTTCAAGTAAAATTAAAAACTGAAGGCACCCACACACTACACTATACTCTATATTTTCTAACTGTCGCATCCCTGAGTCACATCGCAGTCTTTTACACACTTTCCTTCTCTTCTCTCCCTCTCACTCATTTTATTTTATATCTTTAATTTTACATAACCTTACATAAAATAAATAATCTAAATAAAATAATTATTTAGTACATACAAAATGGCATTAATTTATTACAAATTATAAATAACAACTATTTGTTGGTATCACATTGAAGTCGATCCTACATCAAGACCTCTTAAGATGAGACATCGTTCTTGCAAGCGCTTCATATGTGACGTTAAATATGCATTTTCTATATACAAATCCTTCACCAAGACGTCAGCATTGGCTAATTTATTTGCCTATTAAGATAAATCACAAATAATAGAAACGATAAATTTTTATTTCATTAGGCGGTTAAAACTTTATTTTCAAAGCTTAGCAAGCTTCAACTTTGATTAACTATTTTCTAAGATTTCAAGATTAATATACGTTTCCCTGAAACAGCTTATGCTAATTTTAGAAAGATGATTCATCTCTATACATATACGACAATATCTTTCATTTATACATTATCCTATTATAAAATGTTCCAGCAAACATAAAGTTACATGTGATATAAATATAACATACACATTATATAACAGTTACATTGTTGAATGGAAAATTACAACTAACATTTATATTAGATGTAACCTAGTGTTTGCTGGAGTGTAACTATACAACATGTTTTTGTACTCTCTTATTACAATTTTGTAATTAGTGTGATGAAAATTGTTTAAAAAAGTTTAACGATATTGATAAATTATTGTATAACACGTTGAACATTCGTTACCTGATCGATAGTTGTTTCAATTTGTATCCTAAGTCTTTCTTGAGTATTACGAATAAGGCACTGTAATTCACATACTTCTGTCTGATGCTGCATCATAATACCTATAATTAAAAAAAAAAAAAAAAAAATAGATTACAATCTAATCTTATTTTTAAATTTAAAAGATCTAAAGCAGCAGTTTTACATAAAGCAAAATATAAACATGTTTTTCATTACTTTGTTGTAAATGAAATCGGTTAAAGCTTAAAATTTATTAAGTAAAATGAACCTTAAACGTTTTGTTAAATAAAACCAAAAAAATTATTAAGTGAAAAGAACACTCACGCTGCAATAGTTTCTCGATGTACTGTCGTTGTTGTTTAATGTAACGTTGTAAATGTCGTTTCTTACGTTCTTGTGTGTAAAGTTTCATTTTTAAGTTTTGCAAAATATTTATATTGACGCAACCTATTTGCTGTTGAGCATTGTTCTGTGAGCACATACAACTAGTTTCTTTAATTTCGTCATGTATCGTTTTCAATTCCGAGTCGCACTTATCTTCCTCTCTCGTCGCTAATAACATATTTTTAGCTTCAATTAAGCTATTCTGATCTTTTATCCTGTAATCTTTATTTATACCTTTGATTCCTTTCACAGAATACTCGCTATGAGTATTGTAGAAATTATGATCATCGATATGATCTTCTTGTTTCAAAAGTCTATTAAGATCATTGGATAATGGAATTTCCATCGAAATGTGGCACGTTTGATTATTCGTGCCACATAAATCCATGTTTACAGATATTTCATTTGTTGATGGAATACTAGACATACTGGAAGATTTGCAATGCGAGGAATCCGTAGAAAGTGTTGTTGAGAACATTTCGTCCGGAACTTGCACGCAAGAATCATTCGTAACTGGCTGTCCCATCAGTTTTAATTTTTCACGAAGATCTCTAATTTCTAGATTTTTCTGAGAGATATCGTTTTCAGTTTTAATCTTCCATTTTTCGAATTCTTCCTCGAGGTCTATGTACTAAGACATTAAAGATACAAAACAAGTTATGTAAGATAAAGATTTATATCGATAAAATAATATATTGCGATATATTTGACTATTGAAAACAAAACGTAGATATTTATCTTACCTGTTGTTCTAAATTAAACTTTTCCTCTATAGGAGATAATCGTCCATTATTTTTCGATTTATCCGAAGGACTAATCAATTCTTCATATTCGGTTATTTTATTAATAAGCTCGGCAAGTTTGTCATCACTTATTTTTTGTTCTTGTTCAAAGAGCAATCTCTCCTCTTCCAATTTAGCGGCCCAATAATCTTCGCACTCTTCGTATTCCGTTTTTAATAAATCTAAACTTCGTTCGAGTTCTTGACAACGTTCGTTCAATTGTTTCCTCTCAATGTCTAATAATTCTACGTTCGTTGTCACGATCTTTGCAACACTCTCAACTTCGGTAACATTTAAAAAATTGTTTCTCTCCTTGTTAGATTTGCATTGATCCATAAGATGCTCTTCTTTACGTGGTGGATAATCTCTAAGACTTGTTATCTTTTGCGTTATATTTTTTGAATCTTGGCTAGTGAGATCATTCAAATTTTCCGTGCTACTTGACATTGTTGTACGCTTCACGGAAAGAGGCTTCGATATTTTTGAAATGACCAAATCTCGTAAAGACTCGTTAGCTCGTTCCTCACATTCCATTTCAAGCTCAGACGCTATACTTTTCCCGAAATCTCGTGCGGGACAATGTAATGTAAAATTAGATCGCAGCTCAGTGATTAATCTCGATAAATCATCTCTGAAGACACATTCTGGTAGACATTTTGCACTTGTCGATAATATCTTTTCCAAATCTTTTATAATCGTGTCTCTGAGTCTTTTGTATTCCATTGTGTCAGAATTAGATATATCGATCTGTTCTTTGTCGGTATCAAAATCAAACGTGACCTTCTCATTAATTTGTCCATCGGTTTTAAATTCTTGCGTCGCGTGTTCTTTATCTCGGCTTTCATCTATCTGTAAATCATATGCTAGAGATGAGGATGTCTCGTATTTCATATCTTTACCGTGACATTTTAAATCTTCCAATTCCGCGCAGAGTTCGTCATTTTGATCTCGCAGAAATGTCACTTCGGATTGCAGCTGTTTAATGCGATCGACAAAGAAATTGACTTGCTCTTGTTGTTTCGCTTCTATGCTTTGTATCTCGTCATGCTCCGCATCTAATATCTTTATCTGCGTTAGCAAATCATTGTTGGATTGCCGTAACTTTTCAATCTGACTAAGAAGAATTTTATTCTCCGCTTCGAGTATTTGATTCTCTTGCAAAATATTTACAACTTTATTTTTCATCTCGTGATTCTCTTTCTGTAGCATCTGTAACTGATTGTCTTTTGATTTAAGAGCCGTAGCGTTCATCTCCCGTTCGATATTAAGCTGATCGGAAAATTCTTTCGTGATTTCAACGTAACGCTGTTCGTTCTGTCTTTGTAAATCTTTCTTTGTCTTTTCTAATTGAACGTGATATTCATCGATCTCTTGCGCCAATAAATTTGCTCTTTCATTAGCCTCCAACATATCGAACCGCATCTTCTCTCTTTCCACTTTCATGTTGTCTATTATAGCAATTAGATTACGTTGTTCATCTTGATGAGCGATCATCATTTCTCGTAATAAAGTAATATGAGTTTGAATAGTACTATTATGTAATGATTCATTCAAACTTTTAAGTTCGTCACATATGATATTTGTTATTTCTGCGAGGCTTGTATCCAAAGCATCATGATCTCTGTGATCGGATGATACCATAGTTACGTTAGAAACTCCAGCGATCTTTTCTTCTGCATCAGAGTCTCTACTAGTCTGCCGTAGATTAATTTTATGAGATACACATGTATTAAAATTTAATGTGCTTACATCGTAGTTTACAACACTGTTACAAGATGCATTATCCTCTTGCAGAACCTTTATATTTTTCCTCTTTTGAAATATAATCACAAATTCATCGAAGCTTATCAATCCATCGCAATTATGATCGAGTCTTTCAAAGATAGATTCTGTTATTTGCTTCGGAAGCTCTGGAATCTCTAAACAACTTGATATAAATTGCATTGTTACAGGATCTGTATTTTCTCTTAAATAAACTTTAATTTTCTCCCATAAGCGTATCAATTTAGTTTCATCTGTTGTGACATTAGCTTTCATATCTGGAAAATTAGTCCTCGAAGCACTATCGGCCAATAGCGACAAAGCTTGATTCTTCTCAATATCAAAATTACATGTATTTAAACTATGGTATGGTTGTACAATATGCTGTTTATCAGTTATGAATCCTTGAAATTTTTTCAGAAAGAGTAATAAGCCATCTCGAAATTCTTGAAAGGATATCGTTTGTTTATTTGGATGATGTTTGCAAATGCATAATTTTAATTCTTCGATCAATCCATCGAGTTGTAACTTGTTGCAAACAGAGAAGAGATCATCTTCGTCAAGTTCATCCTTCCCTCTTGTTAAACAGCTCTCAAATACTGCAAAAAGCTGTTGTTCATAAAGATCATTGCTATGTTCAGCCATGTCTTTCTTTCATGATTTCCTAATTAATTGATACTAATTTCCATAATATACCTGCAAAGCGTAATAATAATTCATTATTGTATTACAAAGTAATAATATATTCCATGTTATACTATATCTAAAAGGTATATTAAAATATACAGCTTTTAACTACTTTTTTGATAAACTTCTTAATAAAAATAATAATAGTAATAATTTAAAAAAAAAAATAGAAAAAAATAGAACTTAATAAAAATTGTTGCATATATACAAACATACACATAGAATATAAAAAGCAAACATTTATCTTTTATATCAAATATCTTTGAAGAATGCGATTTATGCATATATTCTCTTCTTCCTTATATATAGAGTGTAATCTTAATAGTGGATCTTATTAACTCCATTATGTTAAATTAACATCCTATTTGGTTGTGACAAATGACAATAAAAAAAAAAAAAAAACATTCGTTTCTCAATCTTCTTGTTTTTTTGAGATCAAAGAATCAACAACAATAAAAAAACAAACAAAAATCTCATTACATTACTCTGCTACATTTAGCAGCACAGAGAGATGAGATGTATGCGCACAAAATTTATATGTCACAAAGGTTAATCGTAAATGTGTTATCATAAGACCTGTTCTTTTTAATTGTACTTCTTGCACTATTCTTCTATCCTCTTTTTTCTTCTATGTGAGAGAGAAAAGGAAGGATGAACGGTGCAAGACGTTCAGCTAAAAGGAACAGACTTGTTTTTTTTTTTACCCTTGCACTGGACTCAATTAAGCCGCATTAAAACTTTTTATCTTGCTTTTATTACATTTCAAATATATCTATTTCATTTTAAGTACAACGAATGTATGTACACAGTATATATAGTAACGCAACTCTCTGTCGGCACCTTTGATGTCAGTGTTGGCCAAAATAGAATGCACATGAAATAAGTAAGTTAACTCCTATCGCCATCTGAACTTCCTTCTCGTTTTATCCTCTTTGTTGTTCTCTTTCTAACTCATTAATATATTAAAAATAATTTATATTTAAAAGATTAAAAAATATGATTTAGAAATATGCTATTAATAATGCATTGAAAAATAAGGAATGAATATAAAAGTCAGGAAAGAGGTGAAATATAAAATATTGTAAGAATTAGACGACCGTAAGCGGTCATGAAAGAGATTCGGAATATAAACAGCTAACAGAGAGGAGCCGTCGTGGTCGTGCAGACTAAGTGTCGGATTGGTAGACGAGGGATCCCGAGTTCAAATCCAGTCGGTCTCCGTTAATTTTTTCCGAATCTAATAGATATCTTTCAATCTCAGAAGTGGGATCCAGCCTATGTTACCTCAGAGAAGATTCAGCCTATGTTACCTGACAAGTCGATCGTTCAAAAGTGAACGGAAAAAGTCGTGGAGTAGTACTCCAATGTCGTGTCGGTCGTTCAAGAGAAATGAACGGAAAAAAGTCGCGGAGTAGTACTCCAAAGGAGTCGTGTCGGTCGTTCAAGAAGTGATCGAGGTCGGGAGCAGAAGCTTCAAGTTTCGGATAAAAATCCGATAGAGGAAGACTCGGTACATTCGGGACGAATGTAATACCAGAATGGCCGAACTGTAAGAATTAGACGACCGTAAGCGGTCATGAAAGAGATTCGGAATATAAACAGCTAACAGAGAGGAGCCGTCGTGGTCGTGCAGACTAAGTGTCGGATTGGTAGACGAGGGATCCCGAGTTCAAATCCAGTCGGTCTCCGTTAATTTTTCCGAATCTAATAGATATCTTTCAATATGTAAATGTAAATGTAACGATATGTTAATGTAATTTAAAAATATAAATATTATACTATAAAAATAATGATGTATGTGTGTGTGTGTGTGTGTGTGTGTGTGTATGTGTTACATAATGTAAAACAAAAAAAAGAAAAGTAACTAAATGTAATTGTGTATATAAATATTATGTGTTACAATAATTTTATGTATTATAATAATAAATATGCAAAAATTTATATAAAGATACTCAAACGTGAAAATAATAAAAGTAAATATTTTATTAAGAGATAAAATAAAGATACACTTTTCTAAATATAAAATATAATTATATTTTTTTACAATACAATAAGAAATATAATTTTATTTAAATTTTTTATATAAATATTACATAAATATAAAAAAAATGTTATACTTATAAATATTAATTATGCATTTAATGAAATCAATGTTGAATGTGACTTAAATATCAAAATATTAAGACATTAAATATTACAAATATAAATATAACAAATATCACTAAATATTACAAATATCACTAAATATTTAGACATTTAAACGAATTTAAATTTTGTTAGAAAGAGAAAGAATAAAGAAAAAAGTGAGAAAGAAGATTAGATGGCATTACTTATTTCACGCATGCGCACTCCGTTTTGGCCAATATAAAATTGGGAGAGTTGCGCTCATAGACATAGTATAGATAGACCGAGCATGCTATATACCAGGCAAGGGGTGACATGTGATCTCTGTCATAGACACAGTCTCCACTTAATGTTTCCCCCATCTTCTTCTATTAAAGAGAGAGAGAGAAAAATTCAGGTGTTTCTTCTCACTCGCACATGTCGCCCATTGCCCCTTAGGATGCCATCCCATGGAGCGCATATCGCGGATTGCACGTATTGAAAATTTGACCAATCGCGAACTTTATAATAATGCATTCGGCAGAACGGCCGAGTATTGAAAATAACAGAACATCCGCTAAATAAGAAGCTTCATTGGCTGCTTATCTTAAGGAAAGTTGCGAGTTTCCTTGAAGCAGAAACTATAACCTTATTATATAGTAGAAAATGCAGTAATTATTTAGAATACCCCCATCACTTCTGATTTTGATAAAATTAGGCTCGATCGACGCGGTTTCGCTCAAAATAAAAGAATCTGGCAGAAAAACGTAGCGGTCTGCCTCGCAAACTGAGATATTAATTGTTAAAGTTATTCAGGAAAACTCGTCATATCGACGAAACGTATTGACACAGGCATGTGCCGTGGCTACATGCGCTTCGCACAATAAAGCGGTTTTTTTTTTTTTTTTTTTTAATTTGTGGGATTACATAATTATAAATTTTGTTTTAAAACAAGGTCTATAATTGTTCGATTCCACGATTATGGCGACTTTCGCCATAAAGTGAGTTTCCACAAGGGTTTTGCGATAGAGAGGATTTCGACGGAGTTAGCGTGCTGTAAGGAATTTTACAACCAGAGATTGCTTGTTTTTGCTACTTTACATTCGTATCTTTGCTGATTGATAATTGATAAGAAACTTTTGTATACTTAAATTTTACACGCGATAAATTTTTAATAATTTAAATACAAAAATACAAAATTGGAATATAACATCTGATAGTTTATCTGCCATAAGTATGACAACATTAAGATATACAGTAACGCAATTGGATGTTAATTAGTTTAGTTACATTTCACATACTGCACGCATACTGCATATAGAAAGCCATATAATAGATTGTACGTATGCTTGCAGTATCATTAAAAGTATTGGACAACAAGAACAAAATCTAATTACAATAGCAAGAAAAATGGTAACTTTTTTATAATTAAAATAACTGCAATAGTACATTAATGATAGTTGCATCAATAACATATTACTTACTTGCTTATAATCTATTTGAGACACTATTAGCATTTTCTTTACCATTTGCAATTCGTGAACCAAATTGGAAAGCTCTTTTAGGAAAGTTAGCCGTGCATTGAAAACCAATCTTACATGCTAACAAACGTAACAATAATTTATCTCCCAATCCACTTGGCATTTTTTCAGTCGGATAGCATCTACCAATGATTTTATGTATTTATTTACTTTAATTACCTATTAATTAATTTAGCTATAAATCGTTTGTTACTTTTTAAATTTACCTCTCCCATGGTTTTATATTCTGCACGTATTTTACTAGATTTTCGTCCAAATACGGTAAACGGGATTGTTTCCCATGATCAGAAACAATTCGGTCATCCCGACCTAAATTTCTTTCGGAAATTCTGGCCAATTCGATATTTAATTCTTGCACCAGTGCGTCCCAACCTTTGTGTCTTAGTATAGTCCTGTGTCTCATGTATCCACCAAATAATTCATCTGCGCCTATGCCTAAGAGCAATATTCTACATGGTGACTCGTATGATTCGTTAACTGGATAGAGAACACCCTTTGCACGACTTGCAAACCACATAGCACAACCTAAACTCTCATCCAAAATTGTACATAATGGATGCAACAAATCACAAATTCGTGACGCACGATACAGTTGCAGTTCCACCTGTGTGATGTTACACTGAAATAAACATTATCATCAGAAAAAGTTTCATGATTTTTTTTCTTTTTTCTTTAAAAAATAGCAAATAAATTTGAGAAAAATATTTCAAATATAAATACTATACTTCTATAAAATTCCATTTCCTACTGGGACAAATTCGTAACAATTCAGTATACGTTTGTCGACCCGTTTTTCTGTCCGGTACATCATATTTGTACATCGAAGTCGCCTTTTCGCTATGCATATGACTTGCGTTCTGACTTTTGCTCGTAGGTTTCTCAAATGCTACATTAATGAGATCGATACTTTCATCCTTTGGAACATATTTGTCTGCAATTGCTGTTAAAATTGCTGAATCTAGGCCACCAGAAAATAGTACACCAATTTTGGAATGAGTGCAAATAACACTTTCACCATTTAACACGATTTTTATGCAGTCCTTGCAATAATTTGGTTTCTTTTTTACTCTAACCTTCACAGACTGATGCAAAAGTTTTGTTAAACATTCAACTCTTTCATCTACTTCCCGATTTTTCAAAAGATATTGTAATATCTTGTTAAAATCTTCACTATATGGGATATTTTCTAAATATTCCACATCTTTCGGATCGGGATGCAAATGTAAATTCATTGGAGCAGACAAATGAGTATCCAATATAATCTCTTTAATGTCAATGTCTACATTTAAACTTGTTTCTAATACTTCAATAATATCTGTAAATCTTAAGTCGGGTTCTTTCCATGGATAACATGCTAAATTTATCTGTGAATTGTTTAAATTCATTGCAAAGATACCTATAGCTGGTACTTCTATAATTCCTTTTATTCTTTTATTTGCAACTGAAGCTAAAATCATTGAATTGGTTTTATTGTCTATTTTTAAAAGTAAACTGTGACGTCCGATAATATCTCGTCCAAAGTATAACATATTATTTGATCTTTTATAATACACCAAACTATAAGGGCCTTCAATTTTCCTAAGCACAGACGTAATATCTGTAGTCGATTGTAATTCATCCAATACAACATTGGTATCACAAACATCATCTTTTGCCTAAAACAAATATAATTATTGTAATTTTCACAATTGCAATCACAATTATTGAAATATATAGGCATAGATCTTTCTTAGCTATTTAAATTTCCATCACTTTAATCTAAGGAATAAATTTTATAATTTTAATAAAGTTTTATCCTATTTTCATTTTCATATACTTGAAAATATACTTGATTTCTCAAATATTCTGTATAATATGTAATCAATTTATATAATAATTAAATAATTAAATGACATTTATTCAAAGCATTAATTGACATAAAACGCATATACCAAACAACCCGAGAAAAGATCTCCATTCCAAAGTAACAAGTTATCATTAGTATCCAAACTTGGCTGCATCGTTACGCCTGCTCCTTGCATCCATAATACTGCAGCAGCAAAATGTCCATGCCAATTGTGATTTAATGATAAATGTTTCTCTATTAGATGATCAGGACCTCGTGCAGCTATCGCATCTTTGCAAATATTCCACTGAGATAGATGGAATTAATATATTGAAAAACTTAGCGTCATATAAATTATGTTAATTGTAACAAATATCAAGTAGTGATTTCTTTCATAGCTCAAATTAGACAGTTTGTTAAAAAAAAGAAATGCACTATTCTTATCAATTTTTTCATTTTTTTTTAGCATGTTTCATATATTTAAATGTATAGATATAAAAAAAATTGTGTCACTCTATTTCTACAAAATAAAACTTTAACAGAAATTTCTTTCTAAAGTTTGTGGAAAAACGTATTCTCACGACATTCGTACCTGCTCAAGAGATTCAGAATCATGTCCGGATTGATATATGGAACAAAATATTCCACACATTGCGATACCAATATCAGTACGATTATTATATTATAATCATATCATTGTTAATCCGCGATAACTTTTGATTAAATTTATCTCCACAATCAAATTGTTTACATCAATTGCATCATAGGCTGCGTTCGGCAGAGAAAACAGATCAGTGAGCGTTCAATGATTCTTTATTATGATTGATTTCTACATTTAGATTCAACGAAAATCTAGAGGCAAGAACCAATTATATAGAAAAATCACTGAACGCTCAGAATGATTCCCCATGCAACGTAACTTGCGTAAGCGTAAACTGCGTCAACCAATCAAATTGTCTAAGAAGAGTCTAGATGGATTTGTATAGAGTAGCTGAGACAATTTGATTGGATTACACAGTTTACGCTCAAACAGTTTACGCTTATGCAAATTAGGGTGCCGTCACATGCGGCGTAACTTGCGTAAGCGTAATCTGCGTATTCTAGTACTAAAACACGTTATGCCATTCTGAAAGCGTTCTTTCATATAGAGCGTATTTCGCGTAATTTCGAGAAATTAATACAATCAATTGCTTAAGATTTCTCTCTAACAGAAATGCTAAAGTAATTTGTGATTGTGGTTTTTGTAATCTGCGTATTTGGAAAAATACACTTTATAGGGAAGCGAGCCTTTATGTCCGAGTATGGAACAAGTCAAGTAGATATGAACCTGTGAGAATGTATTCAGAAGTCATTATGGACCCTGACCTGTTGTTATTAATAATATGGAAGCGATGGCAAAAGTGAGAAGAAGATGAAACAATCTCAACAACAGAAAATTAGACGATATAATATTTTAAAATTGTTTGGAATATGGAAACTGATGGTATACCCATAGGAAAAAGCTCGTCATAGAATGTGGGTGCGTCCGATATTCGCAGAAAGATGAAGATTATTACAGGGTGACAGTGACAATCTAGTGACAAGTGACAGTGACAATCTAGTCAAAAAAATGGAAATTTGAAAATTACGAAATGTTCTACAATTGTAGAATGTCCATAGAAATTTTTAATCAATTGTTAGATATTGTTGGGCATTGAAAAACATTATAAATTAATTAATATATATATATATATATATATATATATATATATATATATTATTATTATTATTATATAT